TTCGAGTATCATTTCTATTAATTCCTCCCTTCCCGCCCAACTCCCCTTCTCCCGAAAAACAACGTTCACATTTGAATTTAATGGCACGGAAAGTGTAAGATTGTGGTCCGTTAATACGTGACTGTTATGTAATCCTACTAAGTAGGTTGCTAATTTACTGCGAGCGGTATAAGAAATGAAAGATTGGACGAAGAATAATATGTATTGAACATTGAATTGCCTCGGCTATCTTTACACTAATATGGAGACAAAAGCAACGAAAACGGAGACAAAAGTGAAGAATCTAGAACAGGACGACGGAACAGAAACCAGAGCGTTGTTTGTAAGCCTCGCTTCAATGCGGTTGTACTTTGTTCTTAAGATCAAAACTGTTGAGGTCGAAGTTTATAATCTAGTGACGGAAGTAGCTGGAAGTAGAAACGAAGACACAGATTTAATCGTTTTGTTCTGGTGTAATTAATCAGGACAATCATGGATATTTAGCCGGCTAGAGACCGGTCTTCCCACATTTTCCGACATCGTCAACTCTCCGATTACTGTTAGTAGCTATAGCAACCCTTGCTATGCCAGTTGTCTCGCCATGATTGATCCCCACAGGGCTACCACCAGTTTCTGACTAAAACGTCAAAGGACCTCTTCACATTCTTTGCTAAAGAACCTTTTAGTCTGAACCAAGCCCTTCCCAACAATTTTTGCATTCTTTTGCAGTGCTGCATCGTCCGTTTTTTTTAGTATGACTGTACTTATGTTTGCCACTTGCTAAGCAACCTGCACAGCCCCATAGCTCATTAAATATCATATGTTCCACCGAAGAAAAAATTTTCAACAGCGCTCAACAAACACTATTTATCAGCAATCCGCGTCTCTTCCGTGATCAACTCCTGGTTAGTCGGAGAAGACTCCCTGGACAGCGACTGGAAACGAGGAAGTGAATCGTGTAAAACCTCATCATCGCATTTCAAATGATGATCAGTAATGCAATATTGCGTTACAATCGACAGACGTTGCACAAATCCTGTTATATTCCAGTGTACGGTTGAGTATGTAACTATAAAATATTTATGCCATGTGGCAAACTGAAAGTCCTCTGGGGTGCAGCGATGAAAGCCTCGACTTCGCAGACCGACTTCTGTTGAGATCAATTGCTTTCGACTAAGCCATTTCAAGGTAACTGTTTTCACTGCTTCGCCAAGATAAAACCATTTAGGGGTTACTTCTCAGCTTATGGGAAGGATTTCACATTCGCTTTATCTAAAAGGTGACATACATGTAAATCTTCGGGTGTTTGGGTACCTTGTAAGTTTAAAGGTGATATTCTCATCCAAATTAGTCAGGGTTGCAGCCTAAAAGCTCGAATTGGCCGGGATCGCATGTCCTAAATAAACATGCGACGGCTCTAAGGAATTTGTTTTTTGATCGTGCACAAAGCGTTTGTCCCAAGGGCAGAAAATAAAAGGCGTTGTTGTTGATGTTGTTCCGGCCGAAAAAAATTGGTATCTCTATGGCTTAGTCCCTTTCCCATCTGCACGCATATAGATATTTTTGAATCCTCAAATTTTTCTTTGCGGATTCAAAAATTTCCACGTCCACATGTATTTACTATCCGTATTAGAATCGAATTTGACCGTCCACAGGTATCCGGATGTCAGCTAATTTGTAAGACGATCTTCGGCTCATGCGAAAATTTTATCACGAAACTTCTTCAAAAACTGTTTCACTGACAAAATTGTCCTACTAGACACTATTTCCCTCGTTTAACTTTTTTAGGGCGTCCAATTCGTCAGTCCGACACGGAAAGAAGCTTCAAAATTAATGTGGAGCCGCTGTTTGGCATAATTGAAGTGTACAGTAATCATAGCTAGGTTTAACCGCACACACGTTATAAAACTGAAGTCTAAAAAGTAAAGACGCGATAACATTGCAATCGGCACCGTCTTGAACAGTCATGGTGGGCTCGATCTTGTGACGTCACTGGATTAAAAAAAAAAACGGTATCCGGATTTAGCGTCCACACGATTCCGGATTCATACGGTATTAAAAAATTTCCGCTCTGGAGAGCGGATTCAGAAAGTTGCCGATTCGTATGCCCGATACACCGGATACGTGAGGACGGAAGCCGAATCCTCAAAGAAAAAGTTGCGGGTTCAAAAATATCCGGATACGTGTGGACGTGGCTTTGATTGTCCTTTAAACATTCCCAGCTTCATATCTGCTCTGGGCAAAGTGAGCAGGGGGATTCCTCGAGATGCACTACTAAATGCGCCTGCTAATATTTAGACTGAGTTCCTGTTCGGTTTCCTCATCTTGTAAACGTTTATGGCTGCTCATGGCAAACAGCCAGTTATTTCCCGCAAGAGGTTCTTCCGCTTTTGCAATTGTTGTGTGTAGCATTCTGATGAACACCGATGAGATAACGGTGGGTGAGGATTTCAATAGAGGCTTTTTTCGTTATTCCTTTTAACTTCAGATCGTATTCAAAGCTTAGGTGTCCACGAGTTTAAGGTATTATTTTCGAAACTTGAGTACCGTATCTTTAGTTTACACTAGTCAAATAGGTGCTTGATTCCCTTGGTTTGCCCTGCGTATCCCCTTCGGCGCATAACATTGCGACAGAAAAGGTGGTGGCGATAATTACTCGTAATGGGTACACGAAAAACATTGTACAAGGTAAAATTTGGACAGTAGAAGTTGTTAACTTATAAATATCGTGAAAATCTGCATTTGGAGCCACAGAGGAGTACGAGATGATAATGTAGCGATCAAATTTTCTTATCCTGCATGTATTTGCTAGATTGGCAGATTGAAATCACTGCAATGTCAGTTTATAGCGCATACAGACAAATAAGATCTACAATGGTCTCACTAACATTCAAAAGTTTTTGTTATAATTATAATAACAATTTTTGACGGTTGTTTAAGTTTCGAGCATTTTGTGGGACCCTCAGGCCTGCCGGGAAAAAACAATATATTGGAGTTTTCCAATGTCCTATACATGGATATCAATTGTGTCAAGTTTGAAAAACAATGTAGGCAGCATATCCTTTTCAAGGGAATTGGCTTAACAACGCTTGTGTTTCTTTTTTTTTTCTTTTAAAAAAAATGCAGGCTGGTTTGGTACAACTACTGATGAAATGGGGTGTGGCTCATTTAGAGGAATTGGTAAGTTCATCATACTTTTCAAAAGTTCTTCTTAATTATTCCTTCGTCTGGACCTAGCCCTTCTACGTCTACACTTTGTTCTGTGCATGTCAGTCTCCTAGAATCTTTATGTTATTCAGAATTACCACTGATATTTTTCATCAACAATAAAAGGGAAAACTCTTTTTATTTTCACACATTATAGCGAAGCTTGCGCAAAACGCGTGCAGCGGAGCGCCATGGGTAAGAAAAAATGGTAACCTGTGGATGTGATGAATTTTGTAAGTCAAGTGACCGTCCTTCCGTCCGTCCGTCCGTCCGTCCGTAGATCCGTCCACCCCTTACATGTGACCAATGTCAAATGTCACACTTGCTACCTATAAGACATAAAATGACAACACCTTGTCAGTTGTACACGCCGTCTATAAGTGGCTGAATTGACAGCTGTCAAGATCGGGTAACCGCTGACAAACATCACATGACCGTCTCGTTGGCTCAGGTAAAAAGACCTATCCTTTCGCCCCTACATGTTAGCCGATGTAAAATGTCACGCTTACCGACACAGAAATGAAACTACGTTTTCATTATTTTAAAGTTATGAGTGAACATTAACTGCAAAGGACCGCAAACGAATATGTCCTAGAACATCGGATCTATAGAAGAGCTGATCAGGAAAAATGTACCAAGTAAACACTTTGAAATCTGCAAAGCTGATCGTGCATTTTGAATGTTGTCAATGTTTTGCATTCAAAAGATGCAATAAAATTCACACTGATGTGTACTAGTCGTGGAGGTATGTATGGTGCGCATGGTATGTTTCGAAAAAATAGCACAGCATCAAAACAGTGAATGTTGTTGTTGTTCGAAGACGAAATAACATATTGGTCGATGGATGTTTTCTACTTTTTTAGGTGTACTATGCAAGAAAAAAACCTGTGCTTATATCCTGACTGCCAGACTGTGCCGAGAAATAGGCCAAAGTTAAGAAGAAATTCTACGAGGTTGTTAAGAAGTTAGAAATATTGTAAATGAATAATAAAACAAATATTGAATTCGGCTTTCGAATGATGTAAAGAATATGAAGATCTGGGAGGATGTTATCCACCTCGACCTATCAGATAGCTTATTCTCACTTGAAGGTTTTAGAGAGCTTTGCCCTTTTTAACTGCACAAGAAAATACAACCGATTTGAAGCCTTCTTAACTATATCATTGATGATTAAATTTTGAACCTCGGATAATGCATTTCTCGTATTCTGATTGGTTCACTCAATCTCGGTTATCAGCTCATATACCTTAGTTTGACCTTATATGGAAAACAACAAAATTTCTCTCGGACAAAGCGGCGGAAAAAAGTAGATTTCGCGAGCTTTCTACCGACTAAACAACAGAAAAATAAACAGAAAATGCCATACCGGCAACGACAAAAAAGTCAGAAACTTTGGTTTGAAATTATTTAATGGTACTCCGAAGTTTCGTTACAATTTTAAAGAAATCATAAGCTTTAAAATTCTTCCGTACTTCGAGCTGATTACAGTGGGGAACTTAAGAACCACGACGAAGTTCACGACGACGACGTCTGTTGACTGGGAGAAGACTGGAACGAGAACGTCAGTTTCGGCGGGAAAAAGGAAAGTTAAGATGCAGTCGGTCCGTAGGTCGACGACGACGACACTGAATGTAAACACAAATGTAAAACTGTGATGTTCGTTCGCAACAAAGTTTTTCGCAATTGCGTCTTTTAAAACAATACAATATCTTATTTTTAAGCCGTACGTTTAATTTCATTAACGATGAAGAATTTTGTTGTGTTGTCTGACCTTTTAGAGTGGAAAAACACCTACTTTCCATATGAAATTATTCAACTTTCAACGTCAATGAGATGACCGAGTCCGAGCGTCTGTCAGAGTTTAGATTTCGAAAAAGAGACATTCTGATGTGATAGCTGTTTTCCATGTAAAGTTTATTTCCTCTATATTAAAGATATATGATTTGCCTTACCTAAATACGTACAAATAAATTTATCATTTACGAGTTCGCTCGCTCGGCCTCCACAGCTATTGTCATTCTTCGAAGTAAAATCAATTCATTAGTCGAATTTTCAATCAATATTGCTTGTTAGGAGAAAAAAGGAACGATACCTGGATTCACGAGGATAAGAAAATGCAAAGGACTTCAAAAATCGCTTAAAACAGTGGATTTATACCAGCCGAAGCTTGTGGATTGCACGACGACGTGATTCTACTTTGTTTGGCGTCGTCGACGACACCACGACGAAAAAATTTACTGGTCGCACTTGCGCAGTACACGCTAACTCACTTCCAGTCGTCGTCGACCAAGTCGTCGTCTTAAGTTCCCAAATAATGTAACAACAACAACAACTACAAAGTTTACTTTAAATATTTTCAGGATGGCTTACAAGTCCTTGCAGGAGTAAGTTTTGCGTGTTCGAAGAGCCTTTACGCCTCTTAACACTTTCGCGAGTCCATAACGGACCATAACGGGCCTCAAGTGAATCCTACAACGAGCGGCTTTCCACTGAATCAGGTTGAACAACAACAACAACAAATTGATTAATGAAGCTGGGTCTTTGTGCAGCTCCGATTCGGTGGAGGAAGAAAACGAAATTGAAGAGCAATCAGGTGGACCTATCCAGCGTCAAATTCAACAGTCACAGCGAGGGAAAGCGAAAACAGTCCATGTCGAGAATAGTTTAAGCACAGCGAACTTCCCTTTCAGATTTCTCATTCAACTAAGTTCGCAAACGGCGCACAAGTCATATGATTTTCCTTTGGTTTACCGGAAGTTACGCTAGTATCCATCCTCGGAGAGCCAGGGGCAGTTAGTCGGGTCGATAAAATGTCCGTGGTGAAAATTTACTGTAAGATCGAGAGTAAACTTTCACCACGGACATTTTATCGACCCGACTAACTGCCCCTGGCTCTCCGAGGATGGCTAGTATCCGGTCGTATTGTAATATTTAAAATGAAATTTACTAAAATTCAGTTGTAATAACCAGACATTTGGAGTTTTAAAAAAATAATAATAAAAAAAGCAATTATTCCATTCGCGCTTGTTGGATATAGGATAGTTATAGCCAACTCGGCGCTACGCGCTTCGCTGGCTATTTACCACCTCATATCCAACGCGCGCTTATGGAAAAATTGTTAAATAAACAGCCAGGCTGCCGTGCTTGGAAACGAGGTTGATCGATTGTAAATAATGATTTATACCATCGAATCGATAGTATATTGCTCGTATCAAGCGCTAGTTGATCAGTTTTTGTCTGAGGCAAGTTTTGTGATCTGTCGTCGGCGGCATCTGTGAAAATCGTCTTTAAAGTAAGAAAATTTGTAAAAATGTACGCGACAAACCATCCACACTTGTTAAAAGTTGGTGTTGACAGAAAATCTGCCTAAATGACGGCTTTGAACTGCTATTGCGGGTAGGCTATATTTCTCAAAATTTCTCAAAAAAACAGCGTTACGTGACGACACTTAAAACGGCTGCAAAGGAGACTTGGCACAGATATGAGCGTTGAAATATTATTTTTCAAAGCTGAAACGTTGCTTTTTAAAGCAACAGTGAGAATGGAGACCGCTGGCAATGAATGACCTCATGAATTTAGGTCTGACTCCAGACTACGCGTAGGTAGAACAAAAGCAAAATGCGTTTTTTCGTTTTCCGATCCTCAAAAGTACCTAGCCAGTAGCTCATCGCCCTCTAAATGATCACTGATAAAGGTTTCCTGCCCCAAGTACCGATCTAGATAGAGTATAAAATAAAAACACATTTCTGTTCTGAATTTTCAAAATAAAAATTCAAATAACCATTCCTTACCTGCCATTTGTCCTCTACGTCCTCTGTAGTCATTTCAAATGTTCTCTTTTAAAGATCACGTTACCTAAAGGAACGACGGGCTCAGGGTAAGGGAAGTCTAAGATCTTTGACACTCTTGCCAACCCCCAAATGGCAAAAATCTCGGGGTTCTGAAAAGTGGGAGAGATGTCCTAACTTTCTTGGTGAAAGGGCTTCTGCAGGCATTATGGGTATTCAAAGTCACCTGTCATGCACACGTTTGTTGGCTGCCATCTTGAAATGAGAGATTTAGTTTTTTTGACATTGAGTCTTCCCATTTGGTGCAGCGGCAAGTTGCGGTGGGCCGAAGAATGTAAACAATACCCCACCAAGTTAACAATTCACACTAATAAAACGCAACACCGCTAGGCGTTTACCTTTGGACTGAATTTGCTATCCAACATATGAAAACGAACCCTACAGATGCTCTAAATGTTTTAGGTGTGTGACTTTTCAAGACTAAAAGTGTGGGAAATCAGTTGTCAACTCGTGAGAGCGTGAGCCTAGGTCGTGAAATCGTGAGACTCACTACAAACTCGTGAGACTTGGCAAATCTGTTATGTATTTCCATACCCGAACCTGGGGTCAATTTAATAAAACTGTTACAAGTATAATTTACAAGTGTAGCCATTGTTTAAGAGTCTGAAAACAATAGCTACACTTGTAAATTATACTTATAAAAGTTTTATTAAGTTGACCCTTGACCCAAACTTCCGAAAATCGAGTAACTGTTTCTTTCTGCTAAATAATCGTGCCCAGCCTTCTCATGCATTCAGATTAGGTTGCCTTCTCCTGAAGTCGAACGCAAAAGTACGTCTGTGCTACCTGTGGTTCCAGCTTGATGAAAAATGTCTATTTTGTAGGTTTTTTTCCCCCTGGCATGCAAACCTGCTATAAAAATAAATCATTCTTGGACTGTCTAGAATACCAGTCGTCCCTCACTTTTGTTCAGGAATAGAGCGAGAAAGGCGAGACGCTGCTTCGGGTTAAGCACCTTTGAAATAACGTCTTTCGCCAGAAAAAAAGACCCTTTTACTTGCTACTTATTGAGTGGGGTGTGTCATTTTCAAGCCGTGCAACAAAGGAACGTATAAGTCATGCTGTCCATGCATGTCAAATAGTTACGACACCGCACAGCACTACTCACTGATTGACAGCTAGCCGGAGCGTCACCTATTTTGTTTGAAGTCGTTTCCCTGTTGTTGTACAGAAATCTTATTTTCGTCCGATAGAGACCTCCTCTTGTTTGTTTGGCTGTGCTTTAATAAGTGTTTTACAAGATAGCGGCTACTGGCTACCGATCATGACCGATCAGTGAAGGCAAAAAAAGAGGGTAGGCAGAATTTTACCTTTGTTTGTCGACCTTATCGGAGATATATGCACAGTGCAATCAACTATTGAAAATGGGTTATTTTAGAACAGGTCTCTACCAAAAGCAAACGCAACGTCTCTCTAAATAATAAATACTATTAGCGGAGCAATTTCGGAGCTGATTTAATTCTTGTACATCGCGGCCTTGTCCCCCAGGTTGGAGCGCGCTAGAAATTTCCGTTGGAACCATTTGACAATATTAATATAGTTTCTTTTGAATAACATAAAAATCAGCGGCACAGCCTGTTGGTGTGTAGAACTAAGGCAAGTAACCGGCGGGTGATCAAACATTGCGACTGGCTGAGGAGAATTACATTTTGGAACGCAACTGTTGGAGGCCTCGATCAGTATCGTATAACTTGTTCTGCTAGAAGAAAACTTTTATCATACAAGGCAATAGGCTCAATTGCCAGTCGTTTTGGGCGCCCGTATAAGGGCTTTTAAAAATTTCAAAATGCTATGTTGAGTTCAGTACCTTAGACGAAGAAAAATCAATATAGATTGCATTTTCTCCTACTGGTAAGAGTTGGTTTACTTACACTACCTAGCCTCCTACGCAGACGTTCTTAGGGCTTCTAAACGTTCTTATATTACACTCGAGTCATAGTAATTAAGAATAATTATATATAGAGGCCTTGAAGATACTGTTGATACTTCGGTCTTGATATAAAAGAACGTGGCTGACTGTCAAACAACCTATCTCCTTGATTAAACTCGTCCTCATAGTTCAATGAATCGTAAAGTCTCTCCACTTTGGTGACATGCATCTGCACTCTCAATTCTAATCAGGTTGACAGTTACTGTAACCGCGCACTTACTAATCCCTGATTACTGCTAGTATGGCAATAATTAAAATATTGACAAAAGAAGACAGAGCTTGAGTCGACTATATTCGACTGAAGAGGAGTCCAAATATATGTAATTGTTCTCTTCTATGTAATAGTTCCATGTTCTTTTACCATCATATCATTTTTTTTTTTACTTAATTATCTTCGTTTATTTTCGCTTGAAATTTCCCGTTTCTCATCGAATTCAACGCTCTTATGAATCACTACATTCTAAACCTGATTTAACGGACTAAACGGAGCCTAAAACACCAAATTAATGTTACAGAACATAGCTCACACTCTTTCAGCTGAATCTCTCATTGTCGGTCCCGGCGGCATACTTGAGCTTTTCGCTCCGTCATGGGCTGAGGGATCTGGCTTGCTCCTATCTTTAAAAGCTTTCCTTTGAACCAATCTATTAATCAACTTTATTTAAACACGGTAAATGGCTCAGCAAGCTGGTTTTCAGACATGCCGTGTGATAATTACAATTTATAAAAATTAAGACTAGTGATTAACTAACAATAATTAGCACAAGAATTGACAATTTTATCTGTTCCTATCGACTGTCATAAACGTAACTATCTAGTTTATATGGTAATCAAGACTAATAATAGTGGTGAAAAAATAAATAAATAAATAAAATAGTAATAATTTGAAATACAATATAACAGCGAGAAATGAGTCATTAAAGAAATAAGATAAAAACAATAAAAAGTTATATCCTAAGATATCGCGAGTTTAAAGCTAGTAAGATCCCCTATCTCACGTGTTCTATTCGACAGTTGGTTCCAAGCCATTGCACCCCGATAAGAAAATGAACGTTTAAGAAAAGTTGTTTTAGGTAGTGGTAGTTGGAGATCATAGTTAGAACCCCTCAAATTATAGTCATGAATTTCAGAAGTTCAACGAAACTGCTCGCTAAGGTACGTAGGACAATTATTATTGAATACTTTAAACATCGTAACTAATAAGTGCCTTCTTCTTCTTTCTTCTAAGTTTGACCACTCTAAAGAATTAAGTATGTCTGATGATCTGATAGAGTAATCAGCCCGAGTGATAATCCGTGCTGCTCTATTTTGCAGCTTTTGCAATTTGTCAGCTCGCGTTTTGGAGCAGTCACCCCATACAACATCACAATAGTCAAAGTAGGGCTGGACAAGTGAATAGTAAATAGTTTTAAGAGTCTCTTGATTTTCGCAATCAAAAGATCGATTTATGTCGTAAGCGTTCGGTAATCTCTGAAACCTACTTTATACAAACTAGACTAATAGGGTCCAATCGTAAAGTAGTTATAGAAACTCAGTAACTTAGAAGAGGGTTTATGTTCAATAGGTCTATTATCCAACTCTAGATTCATCAACTTGGCATTTGCCAAATTTTGCCGAGAGCCAATTGTCATATAGCTAGTTTTAGAAGTATTGCAACTCAATTTATTTGTTTTAAGCCAATTATGTACTGCAATTAAGTCACTATTTAAAGAACATTCAATTGTGGATATATCTTCATGAGCTGTAGTTATATATGTATCATCGGCAAACATACCAGGCGTTGTATGCCGTAGACATTTTGGGAAAATCGTTTATATAAATTATGACCAATAGTCGTCCAAGTATAGAGCCCTGGGGAATGCCATATGATACGTATTGTTCTGTGGATAAGACTCCATCTACATAACATCTCTGTGTCCTGTCAGTCAAATATGACTTAAGCAGCTGAAGAGCATTGTCATTGACACCATAACAACACAGCTTACGTAGTAAGATGTTATGGTCAACAGTGTCGAAGGCTTTCTTGAAGTCGATAAATACACTACCATTAAGTTTACCAGCATCCATGTTGGCAAGCCAAAAGTTTACTACACTTATCAACGCTGTAGAGGTTGAATGATTAGGTCTAAAGCCAGATTGAGACTCTATACTCTATACTCTAACAGCTGAGAGTGCATGACCCTTTCTATAATTTTCGATGTGGCAGGTAGAATAGAAATCGGTCGATAGTTGCTTGGAATATTTCTTTCATCAGACTTAAAAATAGGATGAACTTTTGCCTTTTTCCAATCATCAGGAAATATTCCAGTCTCCATCACATGATTAATAATATCACATATAGAGTCTGAGATATACGGACTACAAAGCTTTAAGAGTCTACCAGAAATATTATCTAGCCCACAACTTACTGAGGGTTTTAGATTGGAAATAAGGTTGAGAATGTATCCTACCTTTACCGGACGAAAACAAAAATTTAAATCGGTTCTATTTAAAAAATCCTTTGGTTGAGAAGCAGTATCAGGAATACCAGATGCCAGTTTAAAAGCAAAAGTGGTCATTCATTTGTTCAGCTATATCTTGCTTTTGTACAAAATCTTTGCCCTCATAAACGAGTTCATTTATAACTGTCATTTTAGGCTTGCGACCCAGGGAACTATTTATTACATTCCACGTTTCCTTCAAATTACCACTATGCTTCTTGATGCTATCATTAAAGAAATTAGCCCTGGCTTCCCTAATAGTAGCAGTTACTTCATTTCTTGCCTTTTTATAATCGTTCCACGCTTGATGAGAATTCTGCTTAACTGCTTGATTTTTTTAGAAAAAGTCGCGCTTCCTCATTTTCCGCCTCAGTTCAGCTGTTATCCAGGGTGAAGGTTTACTTTTCACTTTTCTTTTCCTCATCGGAGCATGTTTATTTACAACTTCCAGAAATAAAGATTTCCAGACATCCCACATCTCGTTTGGGTCAACCTGCAGTTGTTTCAAGGCAGGACTCTGTCGAACGTCCTTTTGCACGTGGAAGTGCACCGTACATGTATGCAGACCAAATTGGACACGAGGGAGAGGTGGAAGATTCGATCCTGAGAGAGCGCCGGTCAGGTCAAGATGGAATAGATAGTTGTTTTCTCAACTTGGCTATATCAAGCTCCGATGAAGCGGAACGTTCAGAAAATCTCAACAGTAAGTTAGAGTGTGAACCAACAGCTTGTCTATCCACAGGCATATGGAGAGGTTGCTCTTTAAAGCAGGGTTAGACTGTATTGGGATCATTTGTGGTGGCGGGCAGTGTCCTTCCACCTAATTCTTAATTTGTTTACGTTGACTTGTTGACCAAAGCGTTTAAAAAACATTTCATGTAAGTGAATACTGATAGTGAGCTACGTCAGTGCATAGAACGTTTAAGTTAAAAATGCAAACCACTCATCTTTTTATTTTAAATTTTAGAATCCAACTCACAAATCATGAACCTCGAGAAAGAAAGGAGTGACGCAGGCAGGTTACTATCGCAGGTAATGTTTGAGAGGACATTTATAGTCCAAGTGAAATTGTAAGTAGTCTTCTTTTGAATAGAACAATGATTTGTTAAGTTTAAAATTTCATTTCTTCCATTACTTCGTCATGTGTTGTGCGGTAACTTGGCAAAGAATTACTGCTTAATTTCGTAGTTTTCACCAATGGGCCTTTCCCTTATCCCGCTCCATCGATTACACACAATCGATGAAACAAAGTCGAGCCTTGGATACACAGTTTAATACACATCACTGTATTTTGTCCACTGAAGCCGCGAGTCGTTAACTTCCTTCACGGAAATGCGGGAACGGTCTATCACCACTTAAAACCAAAATAAAATCGGCAGTTGTAGTTTTAGAACTGGTGATTAATTATGATCACCAGTCTTCTAAGAATTTAAAATTTTGAATAAACAATTTAAATGTCTTTTCTAAAAGCAAAAATAAATTTCTTATATATCAACTGATCATGAGTTGATAATTAGATCGGCGTCACCAAAGAGAATCAAAGGGCTTGCCGTTTAATGCTTGCTCTTTGCCCTTCCCTTCCCTCTAACGAAAGGATAGCACTCAAAACATACGCTCAGTGGTGGTAAATTTTTTTTTACTCCTCCACTGACGCAGTCCCGCAGTTTCGCTAGAAACTTAAACACCTTAACTCGTGTAAAGTACATTTTGTAACAAGTCGAGGATTTAAAAGTAAAAGGGTCTTAGTTCATGAACTCCTTACGCGAAATTATTGTAGCGACATAAGACGCAACTCTAGATCAATCAGAACGCAATGTTGGTACTCTCTATTTTAGTCATGTACTGTTTAAAAAACGAGCCGGAGTGCATTATCAGGTTTAAAAAATCGAGGCAAAGTAGAGAGTTTTTAAACCTGATAACACACGACTGCGAGTTTTTTGAACGGCTTCAAAGTCTCTGATACAGATCAACTCATTCTTGCACTAATATTTAGATTTGGGGTTATTTTGATCTAAAAAATTGGACGTATAGTTTAGCTGTGTCTTTATCATATATAAAGACATTCAATACCATTAAACTTTTTTTAAATTTTTTTTTCATTACGAATTATTAATGAGTTTTTGAAGTAATGTTTAAAACATGAACAGTAGCCTTTTATCATTGGTTAAAGACTGAAGTACACGGCTTAAGCGTATAATTGCCTTCGTAATGCGGCTATCCAAGGAAAGGAATATCCACAGCTGGTAAAAAACGGTGTGAAGTGTCGCTAAATCTAACTTCAACGCGTTACAAAGGACATTAAACTGGTAGGAAGGTTTGTTTGTGACTCATTTCGCCATCTCATTCTTAAAACTTTTAACAGTCGTATCTTGATATGGTCGAGTTTGGTGTTTTCTTGGTTAAAACTCTTCGTATTTCATTTCAGAAATACGTTCTTACCGGTCAACGGTTTTTTGTTCGTTTTAAGATGAACATTTTTTTCTGTCTTCGGTTGCTAGTGTGTGAATTTTTTTCAGATTAAGAGGACAATTCTTTTTAAAACTTCATGTTATGTTCATCCTAATCAGCATTTCATCGTGTTAGTTATTCAACCTTGTAATTCCCCTGAGGCTGAATTCAAACCCCCTTCCCTGAATTTTCAGTTTGCCGAATTTTACCTTGCCTTGTCCTTGCAAGGCGTCTTTACAGGCCTTCTCGGTCAATGCTTGCTTTGACCACGTGACCCGAAACCCATCGGTCGCGCGCAATAATGAGGCCTAGTGGCTAGCTAGTCAAAATTTAGTTGTTATAAAAGTCCTTCAAGGGATTTAATTCGCGAAGTTAATTGGACAGTATGCTTACTGAATACTGATGATATTTGAAGTTATAATTCCACGATAACCGGTTTTTTATGATTTCTGTTTTGCTTGCCCCGACTCTACGCTTGTCAGTTAACCTTATTCACAGTATTAAAATGCTTTTAAATTTATAGGACGCAATTACTGTTTCTTTGGGGAAATCAAAAAGTTCATTTGGAGATGCAGGAAAAGACGAAGTAAAACAAGAAAGAGAAGTTGAATTCCAAGTAACTCAACATTCAAATCCACTGGAGACTTCTGCTGACAGTTTGGCTGACAAAACCGAATCTATTAGTGGTGAAGTGCAAAATTCTGACAATTTTGTTATGCTTGGTTCTAAGGCAGTGTTTAAAATGAGTGCTCTCTGACTCGTAGTGGTAACGGTGGTGAAATATGTGTGAAGGAGACACCCACGGAACTTATCCTTGCAATTGTCTGGTACAGTTCATTCTATAAGCGCTATGTGAACAAAGTCCAGGATTCCTTGACTCTCGTGTCCGCTTTTATACACATATTCACTGTCGTTGTTTGCTTTTGCTTCATTCTATCAAAGGATTTTCCAGTTGGCGAAGTATTCGCTACCCCGTATTTGGTGAAACAAAGATCACAAAATATTTCATGATTATTAATTTTTTAAAATTGAAAACGTCATTCCTGAGGGCATATATATTAATGTATAATTTAGTTTCCATCTGTCGGGTTCAATGTTCTCCGAGAACATCCTTTGAGCTGAGAAGTATCAATCGAGCTAAGAACAAGCTATTTGAAAGTGCGGATCATTACTTGTTTCTTACAGATACGAATGACGAATGAAAACTTAATTTTATTTTCAGAGAAAATCATGGCGACCTGCGCTTAATATCAGTTCAGTTAATTTGGATATTCTGTCTTTAGTCCCTCCAGAACTTGTCGCTAAAGGTCCCTTGCACGTAGCTGCCTACAACAAGGCTATCAAAGAGGGAAAAAACCGTGTTATGAGGGTGCCAATTATGTTCATTGGACAAGCGCGATCTGGAAAGACCAGTTTAAAGAAGTCTTTAAAAAGAGAAATCTTCAATGAAGAAGAGCCAAGTACTGATGGGATCGAACTCGATCCTTCTTACTTCATTGTGACTAATGATGTTATGAGTTTAGAAGAGACAAAAGAGCAGCAAGATGTTGAAACTGCAGTTTCTTTTCATAATAGAGCAGCAAAATTTATGGCAGATGAAATTAAGCAAAAGTCTAAGAACGAATCGTCTTTAGGAAAGAGTGACCGCAACATTGTTTCTCCAAACAGTCCAAAGCTAGAAGATGTTAAAGCAGGCACTCTTGTGCAATCTGAAGAGAATATTGCTGAGCCGGCTGAAAAGCAATCAGAAAAGCTGTTTGAGACTGACAAAAAATTAAACACTGAAAATCGCTTTGACAAAGTTCCAAAAGAAACGGTGGAATGTTTTGTGAAAATCTATGATGAAGCTTACAGGGAAGATGAGGATAAAATTTATTTCACTCTCTGGGATTTTGGTGGACAGTTAGTTTACTATGCCACCCACCCAATATTTCTCACCGGAAAAGCAATTTACCTTTTGGTGTACGATCTCAGCAAAGATCCAGACGGCAAAGCCGATGCCATTAAAAAGCAAGGTCTTTATGAGTCTAGGGAAGACAGAGATTGTGGAAAAACCAATGGAGATTATCTTCGCTGTTGGTTGTCCTCGGTCGCTGCTTTAGAAAGCCAAACTACGGGGCACTCCGAGTCCATAAGCTCTGGAAATTTGCCAGAGAAGCTGCCGCCAGTTATCTTAGTGTGTACCCACGCTGATAAGGTCGGTGAGTCAGCCGAGGAAAAAGCTGGTAAAGTATATGGCTCCCTAGAGGCAAAACCGTACAGTAAGCATTTGTCCAACAAGCACTTTGTGGTGGACAACACCAAGTCTGGTAGTGCAGATGAGTGCAAAGATGTCCAGGAATTAAAGAGTTTCCTTAGAATTGCAAAGCAGCTTCCACACATGCAGCAGACCGTTCCGATTAAGTGGCTGCTTTTTGAAGAGGAACTCAAAAAGAAAGATGAGCCGTTTATCGTCCTCGATGAAGCTAGGAGAATAGCTAAAACAAATTGTGGAATTGATGACGAGCAACAGTTCGTAACTTCGTTAATCTTCCTACATGACCAGAGAATTTTGATAAATTTTCATGACACGGACAAGTTGAAAGACTTGGTGATTTTAGACCCCCAATGGTTGATTGATCTGTTCAGGAAGGTGATCACCGTCAAACGCCATGACCGTAAATCAGATGAGCCGCAGTACAAAGAATTGTGGAAAAAGCTTCAAGACAAAGGTGTCCTGGACGAGCAGCTTATACAGGTTGTCTGGCCGCCCCTCATTGAAAGAGATAAGACCAAAGAGATCCTTATTGAGATTATGGAGAAATTTTGCCTGTTGTGTCCTTTGCCTTCGGAAAGCGAGGGAAAGCAGTATCTTGTACCATCCATGTTGATGTCTCCTCCAGGTGATAAAGCAAACGAGCTGCTTTTACCAGCCAAAATTCCTCATCTTTTCATTCGATTTAGACGACCATCTTGTCCAGATTGTGTTCAAGTGCCCCTTGGTTTGTTTGAACGACTTGTAGTGAAGTTTCTTGCTTGGTGCAACGAAATGCAGTTTACACCATTGTACGAAGACATGTACCAGAACTTTGTTAGATTTCCTTTCGGCTCCAAAGGATACTCAGTAATTCTGTGCTGCAATTCCTCTTCTGTCCAGGTTGTGGTTTACGGAGATCCAGTTTCTGCAAGTGAAGAGCCAGATGTAGCAGATTGTGATAGAGTGTTAAACCAATTAGAAACAGTACTTCAAAGTTTGCGCGAAGAGTGCTTTTGGTTGAAAACCATAGAATGGGAATTTAGTGTAATCTGCCCTGTTTGCTGTGAGCAACGATCAGGCAAGTACTATTGTAAAGGTTGTAAAGAAGAAGAATCTCTTCACTTCCGGTCAGAGGCCGAATTGCAGGATGAGCAAGCTCGAATTTGCAGGAAGGATACTTTGGCTAAAGAAGAAATTGTTCCAGTTGATGGATTTGCATTCTGGTTTAGATCCCTAAGGAAGCAGGTATAAAATGATATCAAATTTGAACCCTAAAATATGTTAGTTGAGGCTACCTATTTTTCAATGTTGACAATTTTTCAGCTTTTGCGTTGAAAATAAACTTTAGGTGCATAGTCAATCATGATGAAATGTTTTGATACTTCCTTTTTAAAATTAATTATTTATCTAGACTATTACTCATTTCAACAAACTATTGATTAAATATAGTGTTTGTAATAGTGAGGTTGACTTAATTTTTTTTTTCTTTTGCTGCGTCTATATGAAGTGGGTTGAATTTAGCGAAAAGCTTGTAGGAGCTCTCCCCGATTACTGCGAATAATTAGGTGTCCATATTAAGTGGGTGTCCGGAAAGTGAGCTTCCATTGTACTCGGGTGGTTCAAACCTTAAAAGCATGATGTGCTGTACTTTATGCGGTTTTGCACTCACATTTGTGTTTTCTGTTATTGTAACATAATGATGGGAATTGGCATAAACTAATTAATTTCCTCTCTTGATTGAAATTTTAGAATGCTTCTTTACTTTTGAATAATTTCAGTTCCGTCTGTCTACTTTTTAAATCGAAACCCAAGAGTGCATGGTAATTTTTCTCATTTCTCATTTTCTCATAATACTTTGATTCTTTTCAACAGGAGCAGAGTGTTGATGAAATCGTGAGTCTCTTCGACGAAGGTGACTGCTTGACTTTGTTCTTAATCTCAAGTGGAGCGAGTTTATAGCTTGGAGAGATTTGCTCGGCCACTTCAGAGTCCTAAATAGTCCGCTTGAAAGGCGTGGGGGATGGGGGTGGGGGGTGATGGGTGGTGGAGTTGGCAGAGCTTAAGGCGAGGTGGGAAGGGAGACGAAAGAACTCTCTGACTGCTCGTTTTTCGCCCCTTCTACTCTTCTTATACACCTCTAAAGCAGGCTGATACACTTTTTAACATTCAAGCTCTGGTCGATTGAAACACTTTGGTCCATGCATAAAAGGCATTTAAAGTTCGATAACTTTAACATGTAACATGCTTTGTTTTTAAAAGACTACTTCCACATCATTGCATGCCTAAAAGCATATTCTCTTAATATTTTACAGATTCCCTGGTGCAGGAGAAGGTTGTAGGTAGAGTCCAAGTTATGCAAGAGATGGCGCATGCATTAGATCCGCCCTCAATCGGTCATGGTAGGCAAGAACTGCCTCTGATCCAGTACTGGAAGTATCTCTTTGAAGAATTCCGCGAGGCATTTAACTTGCCCCAAGACGTTGCAAAAAAGTGCCAGCTTACCTCTGAAGATAGTCCTAGTAGAAACATGTTCGAACACCTCAAATCCAAACAACCTGACTTTCTCATCAGTAAACTCATAGAGGGACTTCGAGACATTCAAAGAAACGATCTTGTGAAATTGCTGGAACAATCCAGTGTGCCTAGTAAGTTGTGAATTCCTCAGCACTTAATCTGCAGATGAGAACAGTATACTGTATTTGAATCTGGCATTTAAACCTCAAAACAGAAGAAGTTACTGTAGATAATAATATTATTTAGCACTCATCCAAAAACACTACGTGGGTACATTAACATCCATGTCAATAAAATGGCAGAGGCCAGCTCGTGCGTGTCCTTTAAGGGCTCATCGCACCTTTTGGCCGTTTAAGAAAAAGTTGATCCGTGGCTCCTTACACTAAAAAATAAACAAACATCGAGCGCAATTGCCAAAAATGCCAGCGTGAAACTTCGAAGTGTAAGGGAATTTTTCTAAATTTAACCTCACTCAACGATATAAGTACATGACCCTTTTTATGATACTACCAGTACATTCTGTGAATTTCTAAACGAGCTGTGTGAAAGGGGAGGGCAGTTATACAAATTTTGTTAGTGCTTAACTACTTGTATGCGTCATTCTTATTAGGATCTGCAACATTAGATGACCTCCTTCAAGACTGTTCGGGAACCTTAGAAAGCCTCTGTCTTGAGCTTGACATTGACAGGCAGTGGAAAGCTTTGGGCAAAAAATGGCCCAAAGACCTTACAACTGAAACTTTGCTGCGAATCGAGACACCTTTTAGCTTTACAGAAGCCGTCCTTGAACTCTTGAAAACGAAAAACCATGGGCTGCCTTTGAAAACGATTCGACATGTCTTGAAAAAGATAGAAAGAAACGATGTCTGTAAAGAACTGGAGTGCTTTTCAGGTATTTTTTAATTTGCTTTCCTATCTAACATTTAAAAGTTGAAACAGAAAACCAAAGGGTCTTCAAGAATAGTTTGACGAAAACAAACGCTCTCTTTGACCGCTTAGGCTTCCCCTTTTTTGGAAAGAAGTTGTCCTTGGTAGATAAGTGACCCTCTCAGCCAAGTCAACTTTAGTGAACGTTCATATGCGAGAAAAATTTACCCCTTTGTCCGAGCAAGCAGCGCTCGGGCATGCTCTCATTGTTTCACCATGACCTACTTGACTTGGCTGGGATAGCCAAAGTTTTTATATGGAGAAACGTTTGCCTGGCTAGGGGGCCGATCTTTTGTAATGGTATGTTCACCCTGGCTGGGCGGGTCACCCTTCTCGTAGAGACGGTTTGCCTCGTTTTGTAAGGAAATGTATGAACATTACTTCGCTCGGGATAGCTCGGGTAGGCGGGTGACACTTCTACCCAGGAAAACTTTTATCTATATAGACATAATAATTGTGGACTTACCTGGTCCCTCAACCCCCTCCTTCTCAGAGACTGCTAATTTTGTTATAGGTTCTTTTGGCATGAGGTTGTCTTGCCACCCTTTTTTCGTTGTTTTGATTGAAAGATGTCACGATCACGATCAGGAGCTAAAGGGTTTGTGCCCTTTTTGAGATCAAATTGGCGCCCTCAGTGATTATTGTGAATGGCAAAGTTTCCCCTTGGCTTGACAGTGTTTCGTTCTTTGAAGTGAATGGTCAGTCGTACGAATATTATGCGAAAAGTCATGCTAAAAAAAATGCAAAAGTGAAAAGAATCGTCTACCTTGAACAACCCAACTTATTCATTCTTGTAAAGCAAAAAGAAACCAATGACTTTCATTTCATTTCCTCCCCTTAATGAAGAAAACGACACCGTTGAAACTCTGCTTGAAGACCTTAAGCGACTGGAGAAGGTTACAGTCTTGTTGGATAAAGACACGCCAGGAACGAAAACCTGGCGCCATTTTGCTCGAGAGTTAGATATCTCAAGGGATGACTGTGACAAAATATCTTTGACGACTAAAGAATATCCAAGTCCATCTAGAAACCTGATGCAGTTCATCGTTCAGGTTTATCCAGGTCTTACAATGAGAGATTTTGTACGAACTCTGGTCAAGATGGAGCGCATGGATGTTGTTAATGTCTTGAAGAAGCACTGCTGTGGTAAGATATTAATCATAACATAACGCGTGCTCTTCGTGAAATTTGTATATTATTTAGTTCAGTCAATACCTGTTACTTTAGAGGTAGTTTTCAGTGGCGGATCCAGACCTCCAGATAAGGGGGGGGGGGGATGACAGAGTATAGTTGCGTGTTTGGTTAGATTTAATATGAGCTGCTCATATTATTAAATATAAGACACATGTTGCAGTGCTTGTTGTTTTATTTATTTTTATTTGTGGAATTGACCACTGGTTATGTGGTGATGGTTTTGCGGGTGGGCGTCACCCCGGGGCGGGGGGGGGGGGGGGGGGTGGGGGGGCGGTCATCCAGACCCTGAGATAAGGAGGACGGCCCGGTCTCCATTTTGGTCGAAAAATAAGGGGGGGGCCGGGTCCCCCGGGCCCCTCCCCTGGATCCGCCACTAGTTTTATCTTTCTTCCGTGTCTTTTGTCCTGTGCTTTGTTCCCAAAACTTCTTTTCATGACAATAGGCCATTTCCTAGTTTCCCCGGGCCTCTGTGTCAAAACGAGGTTAGGTGCTCAGCCTTTGATATGGAAATCATTTTTCATTCTCATGCAAATAAAGCCCATGCATTTTCACAAGAAAGGTTGTGCACCTGGCCTCATTTTGAACGTGAGGGTTTTTTGGAACTCGGAAGATGCCTATTGAAGATCGCTTTGTTATGGTAACGGTCAGGTTCACATTTAGTCATTTTTACTCTTAGTATTAACTTTTATTAATTTCTTTCTTTTAAGATTCCACAAACACTGACAGTGCTTCCATTGACAAAGACGCTCGGGAGTAAAGAAGACTGAAGAACGTTAAGGGTGTAGCGTGAGTATGCCCTTTGCAAAGCTGTTAAGGAGTAAACAAACAAACAAGCAACTAAACAAATAAAGAAGCAAGCAAGCGAAATTTGGCGGAAATTTTCAGTGCATTATTTCGCGATTGAGCTAGCGATGAGAATAGTCAGTTTTTTTTGCTTAAAAGCAAAAGCAATTTTTCACCTCGATACCTTACTCTCTTTTAAACTTATACCTAATTACATTTATGATTTATTAACGGAATCAGTCGATCCATTTTGGATCGCGAAATTATTGAAGGTTATTTACAACTGTGACAAACGCGTTTTAGGCGAAAACCGTTAACGGCAAACGGCTGGGGACCACGTGATAAAGCTTTTTTGGTCACGTTTAAGGTTTTCAACGCGGGTTACGAACGCGGAGAGGTAGGTTTTCGAGAAAGTCTTTTACCTGAGGGAATTGAGCAGTAAATTGCGATTTTGGCCACGTAAACATGCAACCATTAATTGTGCGGAGCAAGCTTTTGTATACATGTTTTGGTGTCTATTTACGCCAAATACCGAGCACGTATCTATTTGTGGTTGAATTGAAAAAAAGCACCGCTGCGTGTTGTTTTAGTATTTTGCTTTCTGTGTTTTTTTCTGCTATAGAAAAAGGCCTGTTAACCTAAGTGTGATCTCACTTGCTCATTTTGTCTTAGACTGTCGAAACTATAGGTCGATAAGGGATATTTTGTACTCAAATAGAGGCTAAAATCCTTGACGCAACGTTCACTTGACGGCATGCTAAATTGGAGAATGGATCGAACCTCAAACAGCAAACGCCAGACATAAACCCGGGCTTTCAAGTCAGCCGTAAAAGGGAAATGCGCGCGTTGCTAAATGCATCTGAAACCACCAAACAGCCTTAGCGTAAGCCGGTTAAGTGGCATTTTAATGACCAACTGATTATCCTGCGAGCAAGCTCTCTATTGCGACGATGGCGACGGCACCGTAGCTCACCGTCAAACATCAGTTCGAATGAATTCGTTTTTTTTCAAACTCTGTAGCGTTGATTCGCTCGTAATTCACTTGCTTTGCACGTGAATTTGCTTGAGGTTAAGCCAGTAACTAAACGAGTAGCAATGAGCTACAAACTTCAAACGCCCGACCTGAAACTGCCGTTTGCGATTTTCCGTTAACGCGAAAACCCTAATGCTAAATGTGTCTAATGTCAAATGTACAGCGAATTTCCTTGGAGTTGATTTCTTGGGGACCGCACTCAAGTTTAAAAAGTCGTGCCGGGACGGCAAATACGGCAAATAAACGTACAAAGCGTGTGACTCACGTGCAAAGTTGTTGTTTTGCTTAATACACTATTGCTTTTTTGACGTTCTTGTTGCCGTCGCCATCGTTGTTTCGGGTCCTTTTCCCTTAACAGAGAGCTTGCTTGCGGGCTTTTATAACTGAAATGAAAAAAAAGGAAGATATTTCAGTAAAGTCTTAATAACAAAAGCAGTAGATTGCAAAATACTTAAATGCAGTAAAACAACAGCGTAGCTATCTTTACTCAGGTATTTCGTGGTTATTTTTATTTCCAGAGGGAATTTTTTTATATGGATTTAGAGCTCTCTATAAGAAGGTATCAAGGATTTGTTATTTGGTACTGGTTGCCTCAGTCTCACACTAACTGCGGCTGCGGCCAGTCTTACCGACAAAATAAGTTATGGCATCAGGAAATCACGGTAACAAAGGATGTAAAAAATGTTTAGAACTATAATGCTTTACCACTAATAGAGATAACAATAGACATTTTTCTAATCCGTTAAGAAATTTACAGACTAGTTCCTCTGGAAATACAGAGCGCTTCACTTTGTATAGAAAAACCGTGTAGAATTTTCTACCAAATGGAAGAATAACATATTTTGTAAGAGCAATTGGCTACCAATGAGGCACCACAAACACATTTTCCGAACTTTCAAATTTGGGCGTTCTGTTGGTTTATAGCGTGACAAAGAATGTAAATGATAGTTTGATACACAGTAATTAGTACAGTGATTCACCTTTTATACAATGGATGACTTTTCTTGCAACTTGTCTCGTTGTTTTTGTGCGACGCAAATTGCCGGAAGGAATTGCTCTGTGTAACACCGTCTAAATCAAATTTACTTGCATTCGACAGCGATTACAGCACAGCTCAATCCAACATTGGTCGCGGATGAAGGTTCAACTCTTCTAAACCTGATCCAGCATTTCTTAACATCACCGCCCAAAAATATTTTCAAATAGATGCAATGTGATGCTGATAAGAGAACTGAAATTGGACCAACAAATTTCACCCGTTTTAACATGGCTTAAGCCAATACAAGGCACTGAGAAGTGACCAACCAATCAAGCGAAACACATCAAAATGACCGCGTAAAATCAAATGCCTTTATTAAATCGGTTTTATTTAAAAATGACAAAGAACATTACAAAAAATGCACGGGGATGGATAAAGTTGAGGAAACGGATTTCAATCTGTGTTTTTCAGGAAACTGAAAAACAAATGATGCGATGAAGATTGAAAGAAAGCGAATTTATTCTTTATTAATAACCGAGGTCTTTTCGCTGCCGTCGCTGTCCCTATCAATAAATGGATTAGAGCGAGCCTGGCCAGCTTCTGTGTAAATCGTTCACATAAGAAAAGAGTTCAACTCCCACAGGATTCGTTTGGAACACCAACATGTATGGCCGCCGTTTCATCTTTTTGGAACACCAATTTGGCCGCCGCGGACGGTGACTTCGTGTGAACACGCTCTATAGACTAAAGTGATACAGCGCTTTTAAACGTTGTGCGACAGGTTTGTTCAAGAGGTGTTACACGGGGTTGTGTCCCATCCACTTTCAGCACAACAAGCTATGCACCAAAAGTTGCATGAAAAGTTACCTATAGCTAGTGTTAGGGACCATAGCAGTAGGATGATAATTACTTTTTTGCACAAACATGATACCCGGTATATTTTACAGATATTGTCGTAAGCTGTAGCTGGTAATGGTGTTTTACCGAAAATGCGATTTATAGATGGATAGGAATGTTTTCGTTTTGCCTGTGAACGTACGATCATAGTTAAGTGATGCATTTATTCATACTCTTCTTTACTGTTTTTGTATTTCTTAGTTTTGATTGTTTTAAAAATTTTATCCTTTTTACTGTACTGTATCAAACCTTCATGAAAGAATTTTAACGATACTATCACTCTAAGAAAACCTTTCAATGATTAGTGCGTAAACCGCCTCCAAAAAAAGTTAGGTTTTAGACAGGTAAAAGTTTAAAGCTATCACATGGTGTAGACACACATTTCCAAAAATTTTGATAAAAAAGTTCAAAAAAATTCGAAAACTTTTCTTTCATTCAGTTTCTGGTTCTTATTCACGCGCTCTCCCAAAGAGACTACCAATATGACTTCGGGTTGCTGGGTAGAGAGGTGCCGGTGCAACCTCAAGTCATATTGAAAACCTCGAAGAAATTGAAGTTAAGTTGTGTGCATATTGGTGTTCCTATCTGATGTTATTGCTGTTGCTTTAGCCGTATGTATTCGCTTTCCTTTAGAATTAAGGAACAAAACAATTTAAAATTAAAAAAAAAAAAACGAAAAAAAGTGTCTTAGAATCAGGAATAGTTATCGGGTTAACCATTATCTTGGCAAGGCGTTAGTCAAAGGTATCGGGTATTCCCACCACAAAATTATAGTCCAAATAAGAACAAACGAGATCATACCGATAATAGGGAAAACCATCAAAGGAACTCTAATGTACACCTTTGACCACCGCCGCCACATGTGAATTAGTCACTATGCGTATCCACTTATCTTATCCATGATTTAAGCTTTCTTGCTTGAGTATAATCGTTTACCGTTTTTAACCGATCACTGTATTTCTACCGAGGGACTGACAAGGGAGCCGTTGTCTAGTTTGAAACTCCCAAATCCCAATATTGAATTTCGTGTATAACAAGTTGTTTGAACACTAATTAACACAATTTGGTTGTTTAGTTTAACGAAACTACCTCCTTTTCGGTTCTCAAAACTCGGTACCTTATGTAAGGGCAATATTTAATCTAGGTGATGAAAAATATCTATATTCCTGTAATGTGACGTACATATATTCTACTAGACCGTTTCCAGAGCCATTTTTAAGAGAACGTATTAGAACAATTATTTATTGGAAAACACGAGTTAAATTCGAAACAAGGGAGCTGGTCACACCTTTGATTTGTGACCCTGTTACTAAACCAGCGTTGTTAGATTCTCTCTTGATGAAGGGTTTTGGAGATGGTCGTCTTTTCAATATTAGGGTTAATAAAAGGTACACAAATAGTTGAATTTATGATTTAGTCTTGGAAACTTTAAATGTTGGTTTTCCACTGTGTATAATTGAAACTTACTATGACTTAGAATAACACCTAGGCATGAATCTGTTCTTACGCCGAAAAGCCGCTTTATCACCGCAAAGGAAATTGCTTTCCGTAATAGGTGTTTTCAGCTGTGGAAAGTATAAAGAACCAATTTCTCCAACAAATCATTTTATTTAAGGCCGAAAACTTTTGGCAGTTTTACCTCTAAATTCGAATAATAATCAGTTTTCTCTAACTCATTAAAACTTAGGTTGGGCCACTCGCCTTGACGCCTTTGAATTTCTCTGTTCCAAGTTGAACCAGTTTTAAGCTAGTTACACTCACTTTTCTAACTTAAAACTAAAATCTGTTTGCATAAAATCTCGGAAAAACTTGATACCTTCCTGACTAGCAATTTCAATTCTTGCAAAGGAATTCGGTCATGAAGGTATTACTAGTTTTGCAAAATTTTCTCAGTAACAGCTGGAAACAGTTCAATTACGTTTCGTTTGATCATATACTTATAAACTCATCTAAACACTAATTTTCTGCATATGAATGCTTTGAATCTTGCTCAAACTTAATTAAATTGATCTATTCAGTATAAATAGAAGCACTCTGCAAGCTAGGATATATTCAGTTTTAACTCTGGTCAAGCTTGATCAAGCCAGTTTTGAGTGAAAATGCATGTTTTTTCAACATCTTTCAACAATGAAAGTAAAGCTTATGGATGAAATTATACAAAGTGCTTGTTTATGAGTTATTTTAAGTGTCAAGCACCAAAATTTACCATTCATCGCGGTTTTAACCTGATTTCTGATTCTTGGTAAAATCCAAGTTGGCGACCATTGTTGGTGACGTCACAGCTCCCGGCAGCGCTATCACCCATAAAATATACCTCATCTTGTTAAGAAGATCAAAGGCTTCCCACTGAAGGCAAAATCGTTTCAAAAGATTGCAACATATCAAAAATTCTGAGAAGGAGTTCCATCAACCTCCTACCACCCCCCCCCCCCCCCCCCCCCCCCCCCTTGTCCCCCGGGGGGGGTTGGAATTTCCCGCTCCGTCCGGGTTGGGGTTGGGGGGGGGGGGTCTTTTTTTGGGGGACCACCACTTTTCCCCACTCCCTTTGGAGTTTTTTTAAAAAAGGTAACTAATTTTTTTTACCCCCCCCCCCCTCCCCCCTCCTCACCCTTGTGCCACGGTGGGGGTATGAATTTGCGTGTACGTCCGAGTTGAGGTTGGCGATGAGTGGTCTTTATTTGAGGTACCAACCATTTTCCCTAATACCATTAGATGCTAGTTAAAAAAGGTAATCAATTCTTTTTGCGCAGCGAAATGAATCAGGGTCGTAATATGAGGACTCCTGTCTTCTGAAAATAGGGTACGAAATGAGCGATTTTTGTTTTAACCAGAGTTAGGTTTTGAAGGCCTCAACGGCACATCTCTACATGGTACCTAAACTACCCTTGATGGCCCCCTGGGGGTGGCATTTATGTCTGTAAATGGCCTTTACAGAGATGATTATACATAAACATTTGAGTCACAAACGTAGAAAATGACAAAATATGTTATTAATACACATGCACACATTTGACATTTATGAATGATTTATCAACAACTGAACAGAGTCTTTTTTTTTCTCTATTTTAATTACTGAATTGAATCAATGTTACAGATTTGATTTAAGTAACACATGTAATGCTTTCAAGGTAGCTGCTTGAATCATTTGTCTGTCATTTCTTGATTAAATACTTCTGTGTGTTTACGTGTAAGAGAAACGTATAATAATAGCCTGGGACTAGGCTCCGCAGTGGGATAAAAAGAGGAAAAAGAAAAATCGGCGAGCCGAGTGGCACCACTCTGCTCGCTACGCTTGCCAATTTTTTTCGCGGTTTCACCTCGTTTTTGGCTTTTTCTGGTCCAAGGTCAGTAAAATAATTCATTAATGAGCTTCTCTGAATAACTGATATAGACAGAGCCATAAAAATAACATCAAAAAAGGAGGCAGGAAAAATAGCGTACATAAAAAAAAAACAGGTAGATGTTTTTCGAGCCGTTCAGGTAAGTTGAAGTTGTAGATCCAAATCCACATTTAGTTGAACATTCCTTCTCGTTTTTGGCATTTACTAAAACCCAGTGGAACACCCCCGGCATAACTAGAAATAAACAATTGATTAAAACAAACAGAAATAACATAAAGGTATTTTGCAGGTTAAGGTAAGGGTTTCTATTCTACTCCCGCCAGGTTTTCGGGGTGCTCCGGGTTTTAGAACATGCCCTCATTTTCTCTTTCTAAAGACTGGAGTTAAATACAACAGAGATATTATGATTTTCGTCATGGCAACCACATTCATCTTGGATGTCAAACTCATGGGTACTAAGTCTCCACTCGGCTTCATCCGGGTCTGTTGCGTCATCCTCTAATGTGCGTTCCACGTATGTGGCGTGACCTGTTGCATCTACTAACACCACTGTATTTGTTCTAAAAGTACAATATAATAAATATAGTAAATACTCCTCGTTATACCTCCAAACGCAAGCTCGCTTTCCGATTCGAAAGCGTGCCACTTGCCGTGTGCCAAAACAATTGAACACCCTAACTCAGAATCAAGCAGTGAGTGAAATGTCTGTCCATGATGTTTACTCACTCTCCCAATATGAGGATGATAACTCTACTGAAATTGGTACAATAATATTCTTTGTTATACATACTTAATTTTACTTGTTATTGTTTCTAAAAAACCGATCGCGAAACGTTGGATACGTATGATACCTATACGAACTGGCCATGGTGCTGTACACTGTAAATGTACTTCTTCGAACCGGGAGCATGTCATGGTCTTGACCGGTTTCAGACAAATCGATCTGGCCTTCATTCTCCTTTAAAGAGGCATAGCGTTTTTTTCTATTTTTAGAAGCATAACCCAAAATCATGTTTTCTTTTGCGGCCGCATGTTCTCTATTGGACAAATATGGCGAGAAAAGAAGAGAGCGGTACCAAAACGCAAACAAACAAACAAAAAACAAGACAAACAAACTATAGCATTTGCGTCTCCTATTTCCTTGATTGCACGCGAACCGCGTGCACAAGGAAATAGGAGACATCGGCACGTAGGCAGGTAAACGACGAGCTTACTTTGATTCCAATTAACTTGTACAAATGGATCAAGGTATAACAAAGAGAAATATCAGCTGCTTCTAGCTAGACGTGCGTAGTTGTTTTGAGTACAGTACTAGAACCAGAACCCCTCCGATAAAGCTGTTAGCATCTCCACAAATAAAAGATCTGCAATATAGTATAGTAGTGTTAAAGTATGTTCACACCCTAACGAATGGCTTTTGCGTCGGCACGAAAACTATACCTGATATGTCTTCTGTTCACACCTAGGAATGGTGATTTCCGCGCGGTGCAAACTGTGCCTCGCCCATTTCAAAGTGGATATTCACTTATTATGTACATACTAAGAAATACTTACCAAAAAGGTATGTCGTAAATTTTCGTACGCAAATTAGTTCTAGCCAATCAGAGGAGGGAACGATGGTTCTCACACGTGAAAAAAAAAATGATACGTCCAATCAGAATCGCGAACGATGTTTTTTCACGTGTGAGAAAAATGATGCGTCCAATCAGAAGCCACAGAGGTGTGTGAGTTTCGAGCTTTTCGTGTCGGAAAGAAAAGGTATCTGGTATAGTGTGAAGTCACATTGCCTTAGTAATGTGGTCTTATTTACAGATGTTTAAGGGCTTGCTTTACATAGAGCGTTTTCACTCACGTGGCCAGTAGCAGTGCCAATTTGTTGAAACAAAAGAAAATTTTGCATAAATGACCGTCTCTCTCAAGAAAGATTGTTGAGATCTAGAAATTTTGCTACCATGATAACGTGACGTCAATCTTCTATTTCTATTTTATTGCCGGCGACAAGAGGAGCCCGCAATCCTAGCCTCCGGGTTGTTATTACGTGTGCGTCACATGTAAGTAGCCAGCATTCGTTTGGACGTCCACTAAGAATAAATTAAATTCACAGAACCCAATTATTTTGATCACGCGCGTTTTGACCTTCTACCCCTCGTAACCTCATCACGCGTGTTTCGACCATCTATCACGTAAAACTTGCGCAAAGCACAGCGTTGGAGCCAAAGCCTTTGGACCTTCGATCGTTGTCGCCCGCACTCCCTAAACCTTGGTTATTACTAGTTTATTTAACTTACCTCTCACGCATATTAAGCATCTCGATCAGCTTATCGATAAGCTCTTGTTTGGTGCTGGCCTCATTTAGAATGTTACCAAACCTTTCTTTTCCATACACCATCTTTGGCCAGGGACAGTTCAGCACCTTATTGGACAAGACATGAATTCCAGGCCTCAGCATCGTAATGACTCTCTCTTCAATGTTACAATACCATCCCACCCTGGACTCTTCAGTGAGAGATAATTTGCCCACCAAGAGATTGAAACCATTATAGTTGTCACCTGCGTTATTAACATCTTGAAGGTAATCCTTTACAGTACTATCGCCCTTTAAAAAATCTGGCACGAGGTGGCCTCTCCCAAGTGCCTGGCGATTCATAAACTTTGGCGCTTGTCTGTAGTTTGTGATCACTCCAAATTTTCCATCTTTGTTCATTCCAAGCCATGTTCCGCCCTCTTTGCCTGGTTCCAGGTCTATCCCTGAAAAAGGAAATGAATAATGAAAAACATAAATGTTTGCATCTTGTTACTATGCCAGCTTTTGGGGTGTAGACACGAACAGACAGATTGCCTATGATTTTTGGAACAAATAAATTTCACAAATGGCTTTTCTCTTCCAAACTTAAAATTTTTTATTTTGATTAAAAAATTCCGGATTGAGTCTAATGACAACCAAACATGATATAAGAAGTAATGTAACCATTCACAAAGCCTGAGAAAACAGCAGACATTTGGCGACGCCACCACTGGTTTTCCCGCCAAGTGACGTCTGAGAAACGAGCGCCGAAATTCCATACTTGTCTATCATTATTATACTGATGACGCGTCACTACCCAGATCTGGGTAGTGACGCGTCATCAGTATGGAATTTCTGCGCTCGGTTCTCAGACGTCATTTGGCAGGGAAACCAGTGGTAGCGTCGCAAAATATCGGCTCTTTTCTCAGGCTACCATTCACATGCATGGTCTCTAAGTTTTGTATATACTTTCCATTCTCAGTTAATATACGGTGTCATACATACGCTTTCTACTAAGGAGACTCTTGGTGTGATCATAAAACTATCCAAGGCGTTGAAACTTGAAATATAATGATTGATTTCCGTTAATTATGAGTTGCAGCTGATAAAGGCGAAGAGAAAAGGGTAAAAAACAACCACCAACTTCCACTCCCCACCCACCCAGAATCCACCACCGCTAACACCTACCAAACAAAACAAACAAAAAACGAATGTTTTCTCGCGCCTGAACAGAGCGAAAAATACCTGCAATTATATTGGGGTTTTCCTCCCAAAAATCAGCTCTTGCCGTTGGTCTGAAGTAAAATTCATCCCTGTTCGAGGCCATAATAAGGCGATATCCATTAGGAGTCGGCTTGTCACAGAAGTAGAGAAACAAGATGCACATCCTGCGTTTTCACTTCGAACACTATCAAAATAATAATAATAATAATAATAAAGGTTTTTAAGCTTTGTGATTTGCTGAATGAAGTGATTCCTTTTCTTTTACAGTATCAAAGTCATTACTCGCAACAAGTCCAAAATCAGTTGTAATTAGCTCGCTTTTTTTTTACGCCCTGTGTACCTGTACTCTGATATAGATCATAAGCAATAACCTATTGCATAAATATTTGCGACTTTCTTTGGTCTTCCTGACAAATTCTTTATTTTGTTAAGAAACACAAATCATATGCGGGCGGTTTTAATAAACTATATACGAATAAGAATAGTATGATAGTGAAGCTTTTGTGCGTCAAACTGTGCATGTTTTAGAACTGTGTATTTTTGGTCCTCGAGAGAATCATTCACGCATATAATTCAGTTTAGACTGCGGAGTATTCAAAGCCAATTTAGTTAACTTGAGTTTCCATTTGACACATTACGCAGCTAGTGTATGACTTTAAAAAATGCCTGTGATCTGTTTTCTTAGTTGTTTGTGAGTACGTATCTGTTCCCGTGTTATTAGAAATGTTGAAATGGGCCAGGTACGAAAAGTTAAGCATTGATGTTCCTGCTAGGTTGTTTTGTATCGGATCACCCACTTAAAATGGAATTTTAATCCGTGGGAGAATCAGATAGTGAATCCAGTCTACAAAAGTTGTGAGACAAAAAAGTATAAATTTATTTCAAGTTTTCCTGGATAGGTCAATTTCTTGGATACGTAAGTTTAAATTCTTTGTTGACAGTGAAAGTGATCCGTTTCCAAAGTGCCCTTGCCTATTACAGGCGCTTCACTCAAAATATGAAACTACTTGAAATAATCCACGGCAAACACAGGTGTTAACGTAGAGACTACTTATATAAAACTGCAAAAAATTGCTATTTTGGCCCGCTCGTAGTCTACATATAGATAACCGCTGAGTAATGTCGGCCGGCAAGCCTGCAGTTTGAATGAAACGAACTCCTGAAAAATCAGTCCGGTTCATTGATTAATCGATCGTTATAATTATTGAAAATTAATTCGTCTAAACGTATTAAGCAAATCGGTTTCAATAGTCTTACCTTTCAACGTAAAAGTTTTCCAGTGGCTTCTAAGCTATAACACAGAATATATTATATTTATTATATATTTATACCTTGCATCTGGAATAAAGTTGACAAAAGGATATTGAAAGGCGCGCATTTTATTTATAGAAAGCTTACAACTTCCCCAGGCGAGAAATAAATTTGACGCACGTAAAAGTTTTTCAGGTCATACTAATTAAACTTGAAAGGCGAAGGTGTATTGCTTAGTGTTCGTTTTACATATCAGTAGCACCTAATAGCTCTTCTACATTTCATCCAATACTTGTATCTTATAATTTTGTTCCAGGTATCGCTTTGACCGGCAGCACCATTTGTGAACATAATGACATGACAAAAATTTGGCAATTTTACTGCTTACTGATCTTTTATCTAGCTATCGGGATATGTATTCTGAAAAGCATATAACACGAATATCAGTATCTAAAATTTCCTAAAATTTGCATTCCACGGGTTGTTGGTCATTCAACCCCACTTCAGAATTCAAGTCCCTCCTTTTCACAAAATATACATGTTATTACATTAGCGTATCTATTACGAAAATATGCCTTACTGAACATCAGTTTTCGATGTTCTCTTTGCTGTGCTACTGGTTTAAAGAGAGTCCGTAAAGATCGTAAGGTGGTTTTGCGCGAAAGTGATCGCTTGGGTGGATCCACAGGGGCGGATCCAGGATTTTTTTTAGGGGGTGGGGGGGGTACACTCGTCTCTTGCTCTACTTCAACACCAATAAACCACTTTTTTTTTTTTTTTTTTTGCAGAACATCTCGGGGGGGGGGTGCGCATTCCCTGCACCCTCCCCCTAGATCCGCCCCTGATCCAGGATTTAGTGAAGGGAAGTTCGGATAAATGTCCGCGGGAGGCAGACCATCCTAGGAGTTATGGGGCCATGCTTCCCCGAAAAATTTTGATTTTTAGGTCCTCGGAAAGGTGATTTCCAGCGTTTTCATAGGAAAATGGAAGGTTCTTTCATGCCTTTGAAACAATCTCTGTTTTAAGCTACTCTTAACAATTACAAAAAATCGAGACCAATATCAGAAAAATATCTGAAAAATGGTTATTTGCCTGTTTGCCGTGACTTATGATTGTAAAAAAATAATTAAATGCCGTGCACTGTTAACGAACCGCAATTCGTCATGCATGTATATAGAACAAAGACGTTAATTTTAGATATCCGTCATACCCGGACCACGAAACACTTTTTTTTCGTGAAAAATTACTCTTCGTAAACGTCAGGAGAGGTCTACAAAGCAATACGAAGCAAACTGTTTATATTAGATTACAACTTACGTATATAGAAATAAACATTAGTTAGTCGACTTTTCTGTTCACAAAACTGACCAAATTAGAAGAAGATCTACATCTATTAAGTGTGAAAACTATCATTTAGAAATAAAATAATTTAAATAAATATTTAATTTCTGAGAACTTACGTATTCTGCAGCTTCTTTACTGGTAATTGTTAATCCGCCAAGTATAGTTGCCGCTGGAGTTACAGCAAGCGGCTTCGTAGACTACAATCACTGATTTTATAACACAAATCAATAATGCTGAATAGCATGCGTGGCAAACGCCCTTTTTCCTCCTTTGTCCTCCCCTTTCGACGCCAATCACGCTGACTAATGCCGCAGGGCAGAGAGAAGTACTGGGGGGTACTCCCTATAATGACTTACAAGGAAGAAGCCCCTGCCGAAAAGGGTCGCTTCACAGGCTTTAGGTATATGAATAGCCTCCCTCCCAGGCTTTTTTAGGGGAGCTCCCTCCCCACAAACACCTGCTCAACCGAGAACAACATTCTTTTCCCATTGTTTAATCAACAGTTTTCAAATAAAGCGTTGACAGGCTAAACACGACTCATAAGCTCGTGGTAGTGTAACAATATGACCCTAGAGTTACCTTTTTCCTTCTTTTCTTTCCTTCGCTAAAGTTTTGCAGTGCAATATAAGTATTCTAGGTAGGTAAAGGCACACGAACCAAAAGGCCCACACGGCTGGAGCTTATTTTCGGTTTCCGTAGCATGAAGCAAGCCTAGGAGTATTGCTACTCCCCCTGGACGGGATGCTAGTCCATCGCAGGGTTACCCCCCATCAGTATTTCGCCGGTACCCATTTATCCACCTGGGTAAAGAGAGACAAAGTGAAGTAAAGTTTCTTATCTAGGGAAACAACTCGACGGGCGAGGTTTGAACCCCGGAGCTTCAGATCCAGAGTTCGAGGTGTTAACCGCTCGCCCACGTACGCCTCCATGGAGTATTCTAAAATCTGACTAAATCTTACTTTGCCGCTCCGAGTCTAACATTTATTAGAGGTCATAAATCTTTCCCAGTGTTACCTGGTTACCTTGTAGTCAAGGTCAACCTTTCAGAATTTGGAAGGTACAATGTGATTGGCTAAGCATGGGAAAGATATGTTGTTCTCGGTTTAGCAGGCGTTTGTGGTGAGAGACAATCAACACGAGCTCTCCTAAAAACGCCTGCGTGGCAGGCTAGTATATCAAAGGGTAGGAAATTTGCTTGTTGAAGTAAATGAAAAGGAGGAGAAATTTATCACGTCGGTTTGTAAAAAGTCCTAAAAGGGCTATTATATTCAAATATTAATTATAAAGGGTTTATTCATTTATCAAACAAGCAGTTAAAAGCGATGCAAAGTTTTGTCGATCACGCCAGATTAACTTCAAAGTTGCAAATACGCAGGTCTTTGGGAAAGACAAGGAATGGAAAGACAAGCCTAGACACCGAACACTGAGCTTTTCTCGCTGCCCGCAAACTAGAAATACCGTATATCTTGGTTGGTGGTCAGAGCGGTAAGAAACAGGTTATTTTGCGAATTGCGTTGCGTTATTGCAAGAGTTTTTAGACTGTGAGACTGTTTGACACTGCGGATATTTGAGGAAGCGATGGACGTTTTCATTAAAAACAGGTATAATTTTTAATTTGGAGGTTTTTACCTAGAAACCGGGCTATTTTTTTACAGATGTGGAGGTAAATCTGCAAAAAATGGAATTGACGGGTTTGGCTGTGGTCGAGAGGTTGAGCGATAGCGAGAGCCAAAACAAATGTCATGCAATATTCCGTGATGAGCTTTCAACCGATTCAGGAAGCGATTTTCTTATCGATTGGAATGCCATTATTATTTTCACGCTATTTGCTCTCTTTGTTTACGGTTTTGTCATTTGTTATTCAAGGTTTATTTGAACATTGAAATTATTTCCGTCATATAATGCTCTTACGGATAGCAATTGGATATGGATTGAAAAAATTCATTAAGACAACTCTTATTCAAGTTTTTAAATGCTATGCCTGAAAAAAAAAATCACCAAAACTTTGCCATGGCTAGTGCCTCCTGGTGAAATTTGTTTCGTATCTTTTTATTTCTTAGCTAATTAATCAGGGTGTTTTCAATAGGGGTTAAATATTTCGCAGCTGGCTGCCCTACTTTGTTGTTCAAGATAGCAAACCGCTGATGCCTGATAAAACCGCCGATTTCTTGTATAATTTCAGCGTTAATTTATAATTTCACATGTGAAATTACAAAATTGCTATGGCAAAGTTCTGTACGTCCCAGTGCCAAGATGGCGTCAAGGTTTTATAATGTTATGAATGAAAGTCGGTTAGGGCTTTAAAAGACGCTTTAGACAACTAATTGAAACACGCCAAAGAGCACATCAAGAAGGATTCTATCAGGTAGTTTGTCTAAAAATTTTGAAAAATTCTGAAATTAAGCCAGATCTAAGCTTTAATGTGCCTAAGGGCTCGGCAAATTATAAGTAGGATTTGGAAAGAGCCATAATTTCTCTTGGATTTAGACAAAACGCGCGTAAAATTATTCCCCAGTTTCACTCGTCACCATTTGATTACACATACTAATTTCACTGTTAAGAATTTGG